CTCCCCCCACCCCCGCTCTTCCTGGTACCAGGTCCCCCCTCGGTAGTCCCCCTCCCCCCTCAGGGTCCTGCCCCTTCGGGTGTGTCCCAGGTAGACGCGGTCGAGCCTGTCGAGGTCACTGGTGACTCTGGTGCTGCTGCGGGAGCTGAGCCTGGGGGTGCGGAGCCTGGGGGTGCTGAGCCTGGGGGTGCTGAGCCTGGGGGTGCTGTGCCTAGGGGTGCTGAGCCTGGGGGTGCTGCGTCTGGGGGTGCTGAGCCTGGAGGTGCAGAGCCTGGGGGTGCTGTGCCTGGGGGTGCTGAGCCTGGGGGTGCTGTGCCTGGGGGTGCTTCCTCTCGCCGGGAGCCACTCTCCCCGCAGGAGCTGCGTGAGTGGTTTGCCAGGCGCTGGAGGTGTGCTGCTGGTGCTGGTGGTTCTTCGGCTGCTGAGGGTACTGCTGCCTCGCGTCCCGCCGGTGCTCGTACTGTGGGTGCTGGAGCTGCTGGGTCTGAGAGTTCTCCTGGAGCTGGTGCTACTGAGGGTGTTGGCGCTGAGCCTGCCGTTGGCGGTCCGACTGACAGTGCTCCTGGTGCTGCTGCTGGAGGTTCTGGAGCTTCTGGTGGTGCTGCTGGAGGTGCTGCTGGAGTGGGTACTCCTGCCGGGGCTGCTGGTACTGTTCCTGCTGTTTCTGGTGTCGCCGCGCGGCCCCGACCTTACTTCGTTCCGCTCCTGCAGCAGGTTCTTGGTCTTCCGCCTCCTCCTCCTCCTCCCTTAGAGGGTCCGCAGCCTGTCCGGTCACAGCCACAGCTACAGCCTGCCTCCCCTTTGCCTGCTCCGTCTCCCTACACTGGTCCGACTGGAGGTCTTACTGAGCGTCGTGAGCCTGCGTCTCGTCCTGTGTCGCCTGTTCGTACTGAGCGCGCTAGTGGTCGCGGGTCGCGTCAGCGTCCTCCTCCTGTCCCTGGCACGCACCGGATGTCACTGCGTCCGTCCACTGCTCCTCTGCGTGCCCCTTTGCCTTCTCCTCCTGCTTCCTCTCTTCCTGCTCTTGCCGACCCGGAGTCGGACTCCCTTCGTGCTGCCAGTCCTACTGTCACGCGTCTCCTTGCTACAGCTGTCACTGACCCTTCCTTCGAGTCGTCTGCTGCGTCTGCCCTTGTCACTGAGCTTGTCGACTTTGCTGCGCGCTGTCGTCTAGACTACGCTGCCCGTCTTGTCACTGAGTCTGAGTCCGCCTGTCCTCCGTCCGTCGGGGGTGAGTGTGCCCTTGGCACGGACGTCCTTGAGGACAGGCAGGAGGAGTTCCAGTGTCTGGCCGCCGCTTCACCTCGTCTCGCGTCTGTACTGCTAGCCCCTGAGGGAGACCCGGATGCACCAGACATCCCGACTCCGCGCTCTTACGCGGAGGCGATAGAGGGTCCCTACTCCTCTCAGTGGCAGGCAGCTATGGATGCAGAGATGGCTTCCTGGAAGTCCACAGGCACCTACGTTGACGCTGTTCCCCCCCCTGGGGCGAACATCGTCAGTGGCATGTGGATTTTCAGGGTGAAGCGGCCGCCGGGTTCTCCGCCTGTCTTCAAGGCGCGTTACGTGGCTCGTGGCTTCAGTCAGCGGCAGGGGGTTGACTACTTTCAGACCTTCTCCCCCACCCCGAAGATGACCACTCTTCGGGTCCTGCTGCACGTTGCTGCTCACCGTGACTACGAGCTGCACTCTCTCGACTTCAGCACAGCTTTCTTGCAGGGCAGCCTGCACGAGGAGATCTGGCTGCGTCGCCCACCTGGCTTCACTGGGTCTTTCCCTCCTGGTACCCAGTGGAGTCTCCGGCGTCCAGTCTACGGTCTCCGCCAGGCGCCACGTGAGTGGCACGACACACTGAGGACTACGCTCGCGGCACTTGGGTTTGCTCCTTCTACTGCCGACCCGTCGCTGTTTCTGCGCACCGACACCTCTCTGCCGCCGTTCTACATCCTCGTGTACGTCGACGACTTGGTCTTTGCCACAGCTGACACTGCTGGACTCGCCTACGTGAAGTCCGAGCTGCAGAAGAGACACACGTGCACTGACCTGGGTGAACTGCGCAGCTATCTTGGCTTGCAGATCACCCGGGACAGAGCACGCCGCACCATTACCCTGACTCAGTCACACATGGTGCAGCAGGTCCTTCAGCGCTTCGGCTTCACGTACTCCTCGCCTCAGGCCACTCCTCTGCCTACTCGCCACTCGCTCTCAGCTCTGCCTTCGGATGAGTCCGTAGAGTCGAGTGGCCCGTATGCAGAGCTTGTTGGCTGCCTCATGTACCTGATGACCTGCACACGACCTGACCTTGCATACCCTCTTAGCATTCTCGCACGCTATGTTGCTCCTGGGAGACACCGACCAGAGCACATGGCTGCAGCGAAGAGGGTGTTGCGCTACTTGTGCAGTACGTCGGGCATGGGGCTAGTGCTTGGAGGGCGCAGTCCAGTGGTCCTCACTGGGCACGCGGACGCTTCTTGGGCTGACGACCAGGCTACGCAGCGGTCGTCACAGGGTTACACCTTCAGCCTTGGTTCCGGCTCTGTTTCGTGGCGGGCTACCCGCTCGTCTTCTGTTCTCGGCTCCAGTTGTGAGGCTGAGATCTACGCCGGGGCTATGGCTGCACAGGAGTTACGCTGGCTCACCTACCTGTTGACCGACCTTGGAGAGCAGCCTCGTTCTCCTCCAGTCCTGTACGTAGACAACAAGGCCATGCTGGCCTTGTGTCGAGAGCAGAGACTGGAGCACAGAACGAAGCACATTGCTCTCCGCTACTTTCTTGCTCGTGAGCTACAGCAGCGTGGACAGTTGCGACTTGCGTACGTGGCCTCTGAGGCCAACACTGCTGATGTCTTCACCAAGGCACTTGCGCCTTGTGATCATCAGCGTTGTTGCACGCAGTTGGGTCTTGTGCCTGTCTTGCCTCACTTGCTCTCCTCTTGACCTTGCTTGTACCTTCGCCTATATATACTCTTGCTCTTGCTTACTTGACTCTTGTATATCTCTATATATGATCTTGCATGTGAACTGGCCATGTGGCCTTGAACTTGTGCTCAGAATGTGTGGTGACTTTGTGATCCACCCTGAGCTTTGCTTTGCTTTGCTTGACTGGTCTTGTGACCCCTTGTTCTCCCCCACTTTGCCTATGGGGGTGTGTCAGAACTATATAGCTTATACTATTGTGTAGGCTATAGTGGGGTATCCCATAGGGGGTACAACCCAATTAGGGTTTCCTATTTGTACTCACTTCTTTCATAGTCATTCCATCCTCGTTCTCTCTTTCACACCCACATCGTTCATATATCTTCCTTCGAGTGGAAGATACTTCTCCAGTATTATGTAGCACTTTTGGACTTCAATTCAAAGCGTCTTACTAGAGTGTTCCGCCTGGAGTGTTCCCGTGAGGCCTGACCGTGGCATATTCCTTCAGCAGCTTCATCGGAACATCGTTGTTCACCTGAAGCGTCGAGCTTGGAGTTCGTCAAGAGCACAAGTGGGGCCTCCAATAACAGACTCAACGTGGCAACAGCGTCACGAAGTCAGCGGGCTACGCGGCTGGTCCGGGAGCGCTGCTCGCCGCAAATTGACGACCATGAAAACGCCAGATATACTCCCTGTGACGGTCATGGTTATGCGTTTACCTTTCCTGGTGCTTCAGCGTCTTTTGGAGAAAAGAGGTTGCATGTTCTTTTCGCAAGAGAAGTTGAGATTCTCGAGCAGATTGATATCTCTCAAATGATGGAGCGACAGATGCAGTTCCGGAAAGCATATGAAGATGACGTGTTCCCTGGGGGAAGTTCGTTATCACTAGAATCAGAGAGCATTACAAGAAACCATTTCGCAGCCGTTGGGAAAAGCTGTCACGACGTACCAAGTTGGGCTGATTATTTTAAGAGTAAGGGGCAAGTGGGCCTAACCATTCTGTCTGTTGGGCAGGATCAGGCACCAGACTCAGGAAACCACCAAATGGAAGCCTTGATGGCTCACCTTTGTGAGACAATGGAGGGGTCTGCTTCCTGTCATCAAGAACAATATTCCAGAGCCATCATTCCAGACCTGAACGAACTTGCTGCTGGTGGGATACATGACTTGCTGCATTGCCAGTCTCCGTGGCTCCAGTCATTCCCATGCACGCCCCTCACTTCTGAAGCCCAAAGGGTAGATTTTGATTCAACTGACCTTGAAATATTGTGCTCAATTGATACATTGTGGGAGCAGGGGGAAGAGAAGCAGCTGGCTATGTAGCGAAAACTAGCAAGACTATTGTAACTTTGCATATACAATGAGCAAGACTTTTTTTAGCAGCTATTAATACATCTTTCATGGTGATGTAAAGCTTCAAATCACAGGAACATCTTTACTGAGGCATGTCATCAACTGATTTTAGCAGAAGTGGAAAAGCAGGAAACAGACACAGAAAAAGATTTAGCTTGGTTTTTCTGATATCAGCATTGATGGCCTATGGCGAAGATAGGGCTCATGGCTCAGCTCGTTTCATGTCATCCACGTCAGCGAGTATATGTAAATTTCCCCACCCCCTTTCCGAAATTTGAGAGACACAGATCGAAAAAGTTTCGAGGGAGTGCTTCGTGCTGGTGTCAGTACTTAGCAAAGAAAAAATATACCGTTGGCTCTTATGGATATCGTCATGTATCGCGCGCCCCAGAAGAACACAACATGAGCTTTCTCAGTCCGTCTCTCTGAAAACAGAGAGCCTGACTCGAGGAACAATTCTGTGTACTAGAAATTCAGTACTAGACGAGGGGAGAAATGTACTTTTCCCATCCGAAACCGCAATCCAACCTTGCCCAATCCTGTGCTTCCACATCATTGATGCGCATACCCATGCACGCTCCCTTGATTCTCCCTTCTAGAAGAGATCGCTCCTTCAGTAATTGTAATTTTTAGACTGTTCCTTAGCTAAGGAAGACTGACAGCTAAGGAGTGAGCTAATTCCGTGCGGTTAATTTTGACCGCCTGTTTCTCAGCACGCACCAGCGACAGCCATGGCTTCGCATTTGCTCGCTTCTGCGTGCGCGGATCTCCGCGCGGGTCCTGCCGCTGGCCTCCGTCCGTCAGCCTCGAATGCTACTTATTCCCTCTCCTCTAAGCCCGTGAACCAGCGTCGTCGCGCCAGCTTCGATGGCGTTAACATTAGCAGCGCCAGCAAGAATAGCAGCTTCTATAAGGGAGCTTCTAGAATGTCGCTCACGCTGCCTTCTCAAGCCGTCCCAGAGGCCTCGCCGAGCTTTCCCGCTGCTCCTAGCACCCCAGTCTGCCTGCAAACCCCGTCTCCTTCGAATTCTTTGAATCGTTCCGCCGGCCCTAAGTCGGCAGGAGCGAAGACAGATAGATCTGGAACGGCGACATCTGCGCTTGGAGGCATGGGGGGAATGCTGGGGGGATTGTTCGGCGGAGGGGACCCCGCGGAGAAGACACGTCAGCAGTACGCGGACCGCGTGGTGGAGGTGAATAAGCTCGAGCCGGTGATGCAGAAGATGACGGACGATCAGCTGCGCGCCATGACCGTTGACCTCAAGAAACGCATCGCGGCGGGCGAATCGCTGGACAGTGCGCTGCCTGTAAGTCCCAATTGACGGGTGAACCCCTGTAAGGTCAATCTACCAGGTTCTAGGCTGGATTTTGTGTCGCCTCAGAAATTAGCGCGTTGCCTCAGTCCAGTTACCAGGTTTTAAATAAATTTCATAAAAGCCTTAATCGCAGTGCAAGAATTGAGGCGTTAGATTCACAGCGTAGATTGTCTTAGACGTTAATTTGACGGAATTAGAATGTCTGGAAACTCCCGTGCGAAGATCGCGGATTAATTCATGGGTCATAAAGGTGCGAAGATGACTCGTTAGTATTCAATTTCTTCCGCCCGTGAAAGAAAGCCTCAAGAAGCAGCAGTCGCGGTCGCTGTAGCGCACCGTGTCTTGCTTGCTTTCGTGCCAGTCTGTAGCACGTTCACCCTAGCATCGCCGTCAAATTGCGCTCGCCACAGTAAAACGTACGTAGAAGAAACGACGAGTATTTGTTCGAGGATGGAACGCCGGAGCAACGAAGTCGTCCCAAGATTGATTCGTTCTGGTAACCTAAGACGACCGCAGCTTAAGCATTCCGCGAAATGCTCGCCGTGAGCAAGGCAAGCTAGAACGTCGTCTTAACAAGCCACGCACACTATACTCAGCCGGTCGGACCAGCTTTGCGAATGGCGGTGTTTGTTGTCGTGTATTGGAGTTATTCGTTTGCGAAGGCAATCTCCGGCCTGTCATTAGCATTGCTATTCATTATGCGGCGTACGAACTTCTGATGAAGCAGAATTGATTAGTTTTTTTTTTTTTTTTTTTGCCGGATTCTCCTCTCTCGCTGTCTGCCTGCCTTTCTCTCTGTTCTGCAGGAGGCGTTTGCCGTGGTGCGCGAAGCTGCCAAGCGCGTTCTCGGCCTGCGGCCTTTCGACGTGCAGCTCATTGGTAAGTCCGAGACCGGCCCCCTCTGGGCTGGGTCTGATTGACGGAATAGAGGCACTCAGAGTTCTTACTGTTTCCTTCCACCCAAACCCTCCCACAACACCCCCCACACCCCGCTCACATTTCTCTCTCCGCCCCTCTCCAACCCCGCCCGACCGTATCGCTCGCTGCCACCTGCCTCAACGTTCCTTCTCTTTCTCAGGTTGTTATTACTCCTCCTCTCCGCGTACCCCCTCCCTTTCCGCTTACCCCCTCCCTCTCCGCGTCCCCCCTCCCTCTCCGCGTACCCCCTCCCTCTCCGCGTACCCCCTCCCTCTCCGCGTCCCCCCTTCCGTTCCTCGTCCCTTCTCCCCCAACCCATGCCCTTCTCCCCCAGGTGGCACGGTGCTGCACAAGGGGCAGATCGCGGAGATAAGCTCACGGGAGGGCAAGACGCGCGTGGCCGTACCGCCACCTACCTCAACGCACCCTGCTCCCCCCTCTTTTTCCTCCTTCACCCCCCCACTCTCCCACCCTTCCCCCCCTCTCTCCCCCCCGCCCCCTCCCCTTCCCTCCCCCAGGCGGCATGGTGCTGCACAAGGGGCAGATTGCGGAGATGCGGACGGGGGAGGGCAAGACGCTGGTGGCGGTGCTGCCGGCGTACCTGAACGCGCTCACAGGCAGGGGCGTGCACGTCGTCACCGTCAACGACTATCTCGCCCGGCGCGACGCCGAGTGGGTGGGGCAGGTTCACAAGTTTCTGGGGCTCTCCGTCGGCCTCATTCAGCGTGAGTGGGACTGTAGTGAATAATTGTGCCTGTAGCGAGTGTGACTGTAACGAGTGGGTGTGTCTGTATGAGGTACAGGGGCGTGCACGTGGTCACAGTCAACGATCATCAGGCCAGGCGAGGTGCGGGATGGGTGGGGTAGGGCAGGACCAGCAGCAGGTGCACCTACTGGTGTGATGTGACGTACGTGACCGACAGCGAGGTTGAATTCGACTCTCAATTATAGACTGAACCCTCTCTTGCTCCTTCACACCACCCCTCTTTCTTTCCCCCCTTACCCCCTTCCCCTTTCCCCGCTTCCCCCCTTTCCCCCCTTTCCCCCGTTCCCCCTTTTCACCCTTTTCCCCTTTTTCACCCCTTTCCCCCTTCCCTCTCCCCCCCCCTCCCTCCCCCCGCCATTCCCCCTCCCTCATTTTCCCGTCCCGCTCCCGCCTCCCCCCTTCCATGTGGTCACTGCAGAGGGCATGGACGCGCAGCAGAGGAGGGAGAGCTACGCGTGTGACGTGACATACGTGACCAACAGCGAGCTGGGATTCGACTTCCTCCGCGACAACCTCGCCACTGTGAGTCCTTGCCTCGCCACTGTAAGTAAGCTCCCTGCATGCACCCTTCCTGCCTTGCCTTTAGAGCGCCTCACGTGGAGGGCGAGAGAGCCATGCGTGCGATGTTACGTATATGTGACCAACAGCGAGCTGGGATTCGATTTCCTTTCCGTGTCCACCCTTTTCATGACCCCCCTGTCCCTCCCCCCCCATTCCCTTCCTTCAGACCAAGGATGAGTTGGTGCTGCCGGACTTCCACTACTGTGTGATTGACAAGGTGGACTCCATCCTCACTCTCCGTCCCCTTTCCCCCGTTCCCCATCCTCACTCCCCCCCCCCATCCCCATTATGTGGTTTCAGACCAAGGATGAGTTGGTGCTGCCGGACTTCCACTACTGTGTGATCGACGAGGTGGACTCCATCTTGATTGACGAGGCGCGCACGCCGCTCATCATCTCGGGTCCCGCAGAGAAGCCCAGCGAGCGCTACTACAAGGCGGCAAAGCTGGCCAATGCCTTCGTGCGCGACGTGCACTACACGGTGGGTGGGCGGCTGTGTTGAGTGTGGGCGAGGAGGGGAAGGGGAGAAGCCCAGCGAGCGCTACTACAAGGCCGCCAAGCTGGCTGGTGCTTTTGTGCGCGACGTGCATTACACGGTGGGTGGAGGGTGTGGGTGTGGAGGTGGATGTGGGCCTGTGTGTGTGTGTGTGTGTGGCCAGAGGGTATGGGTGTGTGTGTGTGTGTGTGTGTGTGTGTGTGTGGGTGGGTGGGTGGGTGTGTGCGTGTGGGGGGTTGTGTGGTCGTGTGTGTGGGGGCGGTGGAGGGGTGTGTGTGTGTGTGGGGGGAGAAGAGTGGATGTGTGTGTGTGTGTGAGGGCGGGTGTGGGTGGGTGTGTGTGTGTGTGTGTGTGTGTGTGTGGGTGTGTATGGGTGTGTGTGGGTGGGCGAGTTTGTGGGTGTGTGTGTGGTTGTGTGCGCGTGAGGGGGGGAGGGGGGTGAGTGCGATCGATCAATGCCATGAAGGCGTAGGAGAACTCTTTCTTAGTAGAGCGAGGTTCTGAGGAGGAGATTTACCCAATCCCCAATTCATATCAACCCCACCCACCAACCCCACTCACTCACCACCCCTCCTTCCCCATCCCAGGTGGATGAGAAGCAGAAGGCAGTGCTTCTCACTGAAGAGGGCTAGGAGGAGGAGGAGGCGCTGCAGGGAGTGAGCGACCTGTTGTCCCATCACTTTTCACCCTTTTCACCCTACCCGACCCCTCCCACCACCCTCCTTCCCCATCCCAGGTGGACGAGAAGCAGAAGGCAGTGCTTCTCACGGAAGAGGGCTACGAGGAAGCAGAGACGCTGCTGGGAGTGAGCGACCTGCTATCCTATTCACCTCCTCCCACCCTACCCAACCCCTCCCCAAACCCCCGACCTTCCCTGTGGCAGGTGGATGAGAAGCAGAAGGCGGTGCTTCTCACAGAAGAGGGCTACGAGGAGGCGGAAACGCTGCTGGGAGTGAGCGACCTGTATGACCCGCGGGAGCAGTGGGCGTCGTATGTGATCAACGCCATCAAGGCCAAGGAGTTGTTTCTGAGAGATGTGCAGTATATTGTCAAAGCCGGAGGGATCCTGATCGTTGATGAATTCACCGGTCGCATTATGGAGGTGAGTGGGCTGACGGGGCGGAGGGGTTGGGTGGAGCAGTGGGCATCGTATGTGATCGACGCCATCAAGGCCAAGGAGCTCTTCCTGAGAGATGTGCAGTATATTGTCAAAGCCGGAGGGATTCTGATCGTTGATGAATTCACTGGGCGAATCATGGAGGTGAGGTGGGGCAATAATGGGCAGTTTGGGAGGGGAGGTTGTGAGGGGCTGCACCAGGCGGTGAAGACGAAGGAGGGCCTCGACCTTCCCCTTCTTTCTATGCTCATTGCTTAATGAATGCCGTGATCCCTTCCGCTCTCACTCGTTGTGCTCTCCCTACCTGTGCTCTGCTCTCTCTCCTTGTCCTGATTTTTTCCTCCCAGGGTCGGCGGTGGAGTGAGGGGCTGCACCAGGCAGTGGAGGCGAAGGAGGGTCTCACCATTCAGAACGAGACGGTCACGCTCGCATCCATCAGTTACCAGAACTTCTTCCTGCAGGTCCGTCCGTGTTTCTCTCTCCTGCTGCTCCTATGCAGCAGACCTCCTTCCATCTGCCCCATCACACATCCTGCACTGCTCCCATTGCGCTTCACTCATCTCTTCCTTCCCGATTTACCACCTCCGCATCCTCTCCTCTTCCCCACGGCCGTTATCCCCCTCTCCTTCCTCACTCCCTCCTTCCTCACTCTCTTTTCCCTCCCTCCCCACTCGGCGCTCTCCCCTCGCCCCTCTCTCCTCCCCCTTCCCCCTTCCCCCCTCCCACCCGCTGTCCCCTCTCCCTCCCTTCCTCCCTTCTATTCACTGCAGTACCCGAAGCTGTGCGGCATGACTGGTACAGCAGCCACAGAGACAGCTGAGTTCACGAGCATCTACAAGCTCACCGTCACTGAGATCCCCACCAACCGCCCCGCTGGCCGCAAGGTGAGAGAGGGGCAGACAGGCTTAAAAGAATATGCAGGCGCGGTTGGTTACAAGGATTTTTGTGATAAAAGTAGAGTTTTGAGACGTCTCAAAACTCTACTTTTATCACCAGGCTTGGAAGAATATGCAGGCATGGTTACAAGGATGTTTGTGTTTGTGCATTCAGTCGAGTTCACCAGCCCACTGTCACTGAGATCCTCACCAACCGACCCGGACGAGTCAGACGTAGCCAGAGAGATGATGAGTGAGTGAGTTGTTACCCTATCTTACACCACTCACTCACCAGCTCTCATGTTGAGTGAGTGAGTGTGTTGAGGGCGATGCATGGGAAGTCGCGGAGTGGATGGTTTGTGTGACAACTCTCTAACTCACCATCTTCCTTGCGCCTTTTTAATCCACCCACCTCTCCTGTTCTCTCTCCCTTATTTGCTCCCAACAGGACGAGTCAGACGTGGTGTTCAGGGCGGCGGACGGCAAGTGGCGGGCGGTGGTGGTGGAGGTGGAGGTTGAAGCCTCATGCACTCTCCGTACTCCTTGCCCCTCTCCCTCCTTCTCTCCCTCCTTCCCTCCCTTTTGCTCATCTCTCCCCTTTAATTCCTCCCACCAGGACGAGTCAGACGTGGTGTTCAGGGCGGCGGACGGCAAGTGGCGGGCGGTAGTGGTGGAGGTGGCACGTATGAACAAAATGGGCCGCCCGGTGCTGGTGGGCACGACGAGTGTGGAGCTGAGTGAGGGGTTGTCGGCGCGGCTCAAGGAGGCAGGGGTGAAGCACCAGGTGCTCAACGCCAAGCCCGAGAACGTGGAGAGGGAAGCAGAGATCGTCGCACAGAGCGGCCGTCTGGGTGCTGGTGAGTGGCTGGTTTGGTACAGGTGAGTGGTCAGTTGGGTGGTCTCATCCCCCACTGTCTCCTCGCAGTTTCCAGGCTGAAATCAACCAGGTGAGTCCCTATGATACGAGGCAGGGGTGAAGGCAGCAGCAGGGAGTGCTGGTGCTGTTTGTCGGTGCTGGTGGGCACGACGAGTGTGGAGCTGAGTGAGGGGCTGTCGGCCCGGCTCAAGGAGGCAGGGGTGAAGCACCAGGTGCTCAACGCCAAGCCGGAGAATGTGGAGAGGGAAGCAGAGATCGTCGCCCAGAGCGGCCGACTGGGCGCTGGTGAGATGAGATGTGTGGTTGGTTGCTTTGGTGGTTTCATCAACAACGGTGGGTCGGTTTTTTAGTCAACTCGGTTTTTGAGTCGACTCAAAAACCGTCGCACAGAGCGGGCGAATGGGCGCTGGTGAGATGTGTGGTCGGTTGCTTTGGTGGTTTCATCAACAACGGTGGCCATGGTGATTGCTTGTGCCCCTCCCTCGCTGACTTTTGAGTCGACTCAAAAGTCAGCTCGACTCAGAAGTCCGCTGGTGAGATGTGTGGTCGGTTGCTTTGGTGGTTTCATCAACAACGGTGGCCATGGTGATTGCTTGTGCCCCTCCCTCGCTGCAGTGACCACCGCGACAGACACAGTTGGGTCGGGCGGGCGAGGAAGGTTTCATAGAACTCTTCAAATCCGCCTGCGGGAATGGAATGGGCATTCTGTTGGGATCATTTCGTCAAGGCGACTCAACACCCCGTTGTGCTCCCTCTTACTTGTCTCGCTGTCCCCCTCTCTCCCTCTGTCTATTGTACATCCCTGTTCCCTGTGCAGTGACCATTGCAACGAACATGGCGGGGCGAGGAACGGACATTCTGCTGGGAGGCAATGCGGAGTTCATGGCTCGCCTCAAGCTCAGGGAGATGCTCATGCCCAGGTGGGTGGGCACTGGGGGAGGTGGTACCTTCTCATGTGGTACCTGCCCAGGTGCGGGTGGGGACTGAGGGAGGTGGTACCTTCTCGTGTGGTACCTGCCCAGGTGCGGGTGGGGACTGAGGGAGGTGGTGACTGGGTGACATTCTGCTGGAGGCAATGCGGAGTTCATGACTCGACTCAAGCAGAGAGAGGTGCTATAACACGAGTCAAGTCGAGTCGACTCAGTAACACGGGGCTATGTAACCTAGGCCCAGGTGGGGTTGGGGACTGGGAGAGACGGTGATGGGGGAGTGAGTGGAGAAGCTCTCAAACCATAAAGTGAGTGAGAATGTTTTTGAGACATCCCAAAAACACCCTCTCTACAAGTGAGTGGGGAAGTTCTCAACCCATAAGTGAGTGTGAATGGAAGGGGGGGGGGGGGGGGGAGTTTGAGCTAGGAAGCAGTGTGGAGCCCTCCCTCTTCTTCACTCTCACTCACACTCCTTCTCCCACTTGTGCACCCACTCCTTGTGCTCTCTCGCTCTACCCGTGCAGAGTGGCTCAAGCGAGCGACAATGAGATAGCGTTTGAGGGCAAGAGGAAGATTCCTGTGAAGAAGACCTGGGCGGTGAGTGAACAGGACAGGGGCTCGGTCCTGCTCCATTCTTCCCTCTCCATTCTCTGTACCATCTCCCTTCTGCCCCGCACCGCACCAACCATTCCTGTCTCCGCTCACCCCTCCCCTTTCCCCCCTCATCCATCTCCCATTCCCACCACCCCCCTCACCCCCTCTCCCCCGCACCCCCCGCCAACCCCCCCAATTTCCCCCCCACTCCACCCACCCCCGCCCCCTCTCCCCCCTCCTCCGGTCGCAGGTCAACCCGGAGCTCTACCCCTGCCAGCTGTCGGATGCCACGTCAGCGCTGCTGACGACAGCAGTGGAGGCAGCCGTGGCATCTTGGGGCGCCAACTCGCTGCCGGCTCTGGAGGCCGAGGACAGGCTAGCGTTCGCATGTGAGAAGGTGTGTAGGCTTTCTCACTGTCAGTGATTGCTTCCTCTACCCTACCTCTCACCACTCACTCACCCAACTCGCTGCCGGCTCTGGCGTGTGCTTGCGACAAGGTGAGTGTGCTTTCCAGCTGTCAATGTATTCTTCCTCTAACCTACCCAACCCCTCACTCATCAACTCGCTGCCGGTTCTCGAGGCCGAGGGCAGGCTGGCATTCGCGTGTGAGAAGGTGGGTGCGTTTGTCGTCACGTGTAAGCAGGCAGGCCAGGCACGCTCTGCAATTTTGCCCTTCCAGTCCAGGCATGTTCACACACAGAGGTGGAGAAGCAGACGGTTATTGCTGCCCATGCCCACTCCTCTCCCTCCCTGTTAGTGCCTTTATGTGTGCATGTCTCTGTCTTCTTCTTCCTCGCCCTCTCTGGAGGGCCCTACCAGCGACCCAGTGATTGCAGCCTTCAGGGCAGCCTTCCAAGCTATAGATGAGTAGTATCGTATGTTCACAGAGGCGAACAGAAGGTCATTGCTGCTGGTGCCAACTTCTCTTTCACCCTCTTTGTGTGTGTGTTTTCGTATGTGTGTTTTCGTATGCGTGTTTTCGTATGTGTGTTTTCGTATGCGTGTTTTCGTATGCGTGTTTTTGTGTGCAGGGCCCCACCAGAGACCCAGTTTTTGTGTGCAGGGCCCCACCAGCGACCCAGTGATTGCAGCCCTCAGAGCGGCTTTCCAGGCAATGGACGACGAGTACTGCGTGTTCACAGAGGCCGAGAAGCACAAGGTCATTGAGGCGCCTCAAAACGACTTTTGAGGCGCCTCAAAAGCCCTCAGAGCGGCTTTCCAGGCAATGGACGACGAGTACCGCGTGTTCACAGAGGCCGAGAAGCACAAGGTCATTGAGGCGCCTCAAAACGACTTTTGAGGCGCCTCAAAAGCCCTCAGAGCGGCTTTCCAGGCAATGGACGACGAGTACCGCGTGTTCACAGAGGCCGAGAAGCACAAGGTCATTGCTGCTCATGCCCATTCTTCTCCTTCTCTTCCCCGCTGTGCAGGGCCCCACCAGCGACCCAGTTATTGCAGCTCTGCGGACGGCCTTCCAGGCGATGGACGATGATAATCATGTGTTCACCGAGGCGGAGAAGCAGGCAGAACGTCATTGCTGCTCGTGCCCAGTCATTTCTCTCTCTCCCTCTTTGTGTGTTTGTCTGCAGGGTCCCACCAGCTACCCAGTGATTGCAGCTCTGCGAGCGCCCTTCCAAGCAATGGACGACGAGTATCGTGGGTTCACAGAGGCGGAGAAGCAGAAGGTCATTGTTACCCATGCCCACTCCTCTTTATCTCCCTGTTTGTGTGTGTGTTTGTGTCTCCCTCCGCTGCGCAGGGCCCCACGAGCGACCCAGTGATTGCAGCTCTGCGAGCTGCCTTCCAGGCGATGGACGACGAGTATCGCGTGTTCACAGAGGCGGAGAAGCAGAAAGTCATTGCTGCTGGCGGGCTGCATGTCGTTGGCACAGAGAGACACGAGTCCCGGCGCATTGACAACCAGGTGAGAGGGGTGTGTGTGAGTGTCTATGTGTGTGTGTGTGTGTGTATGTGTGTGTGTGCGTGCGTGCGTGCGTGCGTGCGTGTGTGTGTGTGTGTGTGTGTGTGTGTGTCTGGGTGCATCTGTGTGTGCCGCTGGCGGGCTGCATGTCGTTGGCACTGAGAGACACGAGTCCCGGCGCATTGACAACCAGGTGAGGGGTGGGAAGGGGTTAGGGCTTAGGGCATGTGTGAATGTCTATGTACGTGTGGTGTGTGGGGCCTCAAAAGGTCGGACCGGGCCGTAATTGACATGCTTTCATGTTAACCCCACCGTCCATATTGGAGTGACTTTTGAGAATTCTCAAAAGTGCACCACCAACCCACTCTCCCTCGTGTGTCCTCTCCCACATATCCGTGTGACTTTTGAGAATTCTCAAAAGTCACTCCAATATTGACGGACCAGGCCTTAATTGGCGTGCTTCCATGTTAACCCCACCGTCCCTCTCCTACCCATCTGTCATCTCCCTGCCTTCCCGTCCTGCTCTGCTCCCTCTCCCTCCTCTTCCCTCCCCCTTCCCCCTCCTCCCCCCCGGGCAGCGCTTTGCAGTTGCGAGCGCAGTTAGGCCGGCAGGACGACCCTGACAGTTTTTTTGGAATTCTAGAAAATCGCTCTTCCTTCCCCTTTTCCCCCTCCTCCTCCCCGGCTGCGCATTGCATTGCAGTTGAGGGGGCGGTCAGGTCGGCAGGGCAACCCTGGCAGTTCTTTTAGAATTCTAAAAAATCGCCCTTCCCTCCCCCCTCCTCCTCCCCGGCTGCGCATTGCATTGCAGTTGAGGGGGCGGTCAGGGCGGCAGGGCGATCCTGGCAGTTCGCGCTTCTTCCTCTCCCTCGAGGATAACATCTTCCGCATCTTCGGGGGCGACCGTATCCAGGTGTGCAGTGCGGTGCAGAGAAGTTCCGAGTGGTATAGGAGGTGTAGGTAGGTGTGGGCTGGTGTGTGAGGGGGCAGTCAGGGCGGCAGGGCGACCCGGGCAGTTCTCGCTTCTTCCTGTCCCTCTAAGAAAACATCTTCCACATCTTTGTTGGCGACCGTATCCAGGTGTGCAGAGCGATGGACAGTGGTGTGCAAGAGTAGGAAGAGGTTCGACCGCAGCAAGCCAACAGATCTCGCGAGGTGACTTTTGAGTCAACTCAAAAGTCACCTTGATGTTTACATCATCATGTTTACATCATGCCATCCCCTGTCCATGCGTTGTCTTGCAGGGTCTGATGAAGGCGTTCCGAGTGCAGGACGTGCCCATCGAGTCCAAGACGCTCACCAAGGCTTGCTTGCCTGCTTCCCTTGCATCATCTCTCTGAATCCCATCATCCTTGTTGCTTTATCTGCACACCACAGGGTTTGATGAAGGCGTTCCGAGTGCAGGACATGCCTATCGAGTCCAAGACGCTCACCAAGGCTTGCTTGCCTGCTTCCCTTGCATCATCGCTCTGAATCCCATCATCCTTGTTGCTTTATCCGCACATACACAGGGTTTGATGAAGGCGTTTCGTGTGGAGGACATGCCGATCGAGTCCAAGATGCTCACCAAGGCTCTGGACGAGGCACAGAGGAAGGTGGAGAACTACTTCTTTGACATCCGCAAGCAGCTGTTCGAATACGACCAGGTAGGGTGCGGTGCGGCTCATAGGAGTGTGCGCAGAGGAAGGTGGAGAGCTACTTCTTTGACATTCGCAAGCAGCTGTTTGAGTACGACCAGGTGAGAGAAAAAGTAGTACGGGGTGACCAATGCAAATTGTGGCAGCCTCACCTTGAGTAGCCTCGAACGTTCTCGCTGAGTGTGTTTTGAGTCGACTCAGAACGTTCTCGCTGAGTGTGTTTTGAGTCGACTCAGAACGTTCTCGCTGAGTGTGTTTTGAGTCGACTCAGAACGTTCTCGCTGAGTATGTTTTGAGTCGACTCAGAACGTTCTCGCTGAGTGTGTTTTGAGTCGACTCAGAACGTTCTCGCTGAGTGTGTTTTGAGTCGACTCAGAACGTTCTCGCTGAGTGTGTTGAGTCGACTCAGAACGTTCTCGCTGAGTGTGTTTTGAGTCGACTCAGAACGTTCTCGCTGAGTGTGTTTTGAGTCGACTCAGAACGTTCTCGCTGAGTGTGTTTTGAGTCGACTCAGAACGTTCTCGCTGAGTGTGTTGAGTCGACTCAGAACGTTCTCGCTGAGTGTGTTTTGAGTCGACTCAGAAGGTTCTCGCTGATTTTGTGTTTTAACTCTTGCACTGATGGCCTAGCGGGTATGATCCCCGTGCAAAGCCGAAACATGTTTGCTTTCGTCTAGAGTTTGAACTGAGTTGTACGTTCGGATCTTAATCAATTTTTTCGAGGGTTACTTTTTTCACTGGTTGACTATCATCCCTTTGCTAAAGGCGACCTTGCCTACTGCTGTCCTTCTTCATGAGCACAGATCAGTGTCGCTGCTGTTTGAGAATTCTCAAAAAACAGTGTCGCTGTTGTTTGAGAATTCTCAAAAAACAGTGTCGCTGTTGTTTGGCTCCTCGGTGCTGAACTGAACAGCCGGCGCAACCGCGTGCACGCCGAGAGGAGGGGAGCGCTGCTTGCTGGCTGTGCCCCTTCCTTCTCCCGCCCATAACAGTGTCGTTTTTTGGCTCCTCGGTGCTGAACTGAACTGAACAGCCAGCGCAACCACGTGTACGCGGAGAGGAGGGGAGCGCTTGCTGGCTGTGCCCCTTTTTTTGAGTCGACTCAAAAAGAACTGAACAGCCGGCGCAACCGCGTGTACGCCGAAAGGAGGGGAGCGCTTGCTGGCTGTGCCCCTTCCTCGTCCCGCCCGAAACAGTGTCGCTGTTGCCAGCGCGTTGAGGTTCTTGACTCGTGCCCCTCCGTTCACCCTTTCCCCACCCCCACCTCCCCCCCAACCCCAGGTGCTGAACAGCCAGCGTGACCGAGTGTACGCGGAGAGGAGGAGGGCGCTGGTGGCGGAGAGCCTGGAGGGCGCGATGATAGAGTATGCGGAGCTCACCATGGACGATATCCTCGAGGTGAGAGAGAGGGAGAGTGCTGCCATGGTCCTTGGCTTTTTCTCCTTTTGTCTGCCTTTGAGGCACCAGCGCTGCTGCCTGGCGGCAGAGAGTTTGGAGGGGGCTATGATAGAGTATGCGGAGCTCACCATGGATGACATCCTCGAGGTGCGTGGGGCTTACATGGAGGGAGGGGGGTCACAGTTGGGTGTGGGTGTGTGTTTGGTTACTGCTGGTGGCGGAGAGGCTCGAGGGAGCGATGATAGAGTATGCCGAGCTCACCATGGATGACATCCTCAAGGTGAAATTTTCAAGGTGAGGTCGTGAGCAGGTTGAGTTCTTTTGTTCTCCACTTCCAATCAGCCAATTCGCTCTTCTTGGTGACTTTTGAGTCGACTCAAAAGTCACCTCAAGGGGAATTTTTTCAAGGTGAGGTCGTGTGCAGGTTGAGTTCTTTTGTTTTCCACTTCAAATCAGCCATTCGCTCTTCTTGTCTTCTCTCTTCCTATCCACCAATCTTGTCTTCCCTCTACCCGTCAGGCCAACATCGACGCTACAAAGGCCAAGGAGGAGTGGAATTTGGAGGCCCTGGCAGCCAAGGTCAAGCAGTACTGCTACCTGCTCGCCGACCTCTCCCCTGAGTCCCCCTCCTGCCTCCTTTCTCTGTCCCTCCTCCCTTTTTTTGTCCCTTCCACTCCTCTCTGTTCCTCCTCCCCTCTCTTTCCCCCCCACCTCTCTCCTCCCCTCCCTCCCATCCGCTTCCACCTGTCAGGCCAACATCGACGCAACAAAGCCCAAGGAGGAGTGGAATCTGGAGGCCCTGGCAGCCAAGGTCAAGCAGTACTGCTACCTGCTCGCCGACCTCTCCCCTGAGACCCCCTCCTGCCTCCTCATCCCTCTTTTTTTTCCCCCTCCCACCCCTGTCTATCCCTCCTCCCCCTCTTTTTCCCACCCACCACTCTCCGTCCCTCCCACCCCTCCCACGCTCCCTCCACCCCTCACCTCAGGCAAACATCGACGCTACAAAGCCCAAGGAGGAGTGGAATTTGGAGGCCCTGGCAGCCAAGGTCAAGCAGTACTGCTACCTGCTCGCCGACCTCTCCCCTGAGTCCCTCGCTCCCCACGCCGACTCCATTGACAGCCTGCGGGAGTATTTGAGGAAGCGCGGGCGGGAGGTGTACTACCAGAAGCGGGTGAGTGGCGGGTTGGGATTCCCAAGCAGAGAGGTTCAAGTGGAGGTAGAAGGGAGAGGAGGGCGATGAATGAGGCCCTCGCTCCCCACGCCGACTCCATTGACAGCCTGCGGGAGTACCTGAGGAAGCGCTGGCGGGAGGTGTACTACCAGAAGCGGGTGAGTGGGTGGTGGCTACTCTTCGAAAGGAGAAGTTCAAAAGGATGTGGAAGGGAACAGAGGGGTTGATGAGAGCCTCGCTTCCCCCGCGCTACTTTGTGCTCTCGCAGACGGACAACCTGTGGAAGGAGCACCTGCAGACACTCAAGCTCCCAAACCCACCCGCAATTTCCCATCCCTTCTTCTCTGGTTTCAGGAGGAGGTGGAGAAAATTGTTCCCGGGCTGATGAAGGACGCAGAGCGCTACTTTGTGCTCTCGCAGACGGACAACCTGTGGAAGGAGCACCTGCAGGCACTCAAGTTTGCGCAGCAGGCGGTGGGGCTGCGCGGGTACGCGCAGAAGGACCCGCTGATTGAGTACAAGCTGGAGGGGTACAACCTCTTCCTCTCCATGATGGCGCAGATCCGCCGCAATGTCATCTACTCCGTGTACCAGGTGAGTTACGTGTCATCTACTCGGTGTTCCAGGTGGGTGGGTTACGTGTCATCTACTCAGTGTACCGGGTGGGTTACGTGTCATCTGGCCTGTGTATTACCAGGTGCATTACATGCCGTCTGGTTTGCGTACTAGGTGGATCATGTTGTGTCTGGTTCATGTACAAGGTGAGGTGAGGTGCATTATCAGCAGGCGATGAGGTGAGGTGCATCAGCAGAAGGAATCCCTCATTGAGTACAAGCTGGAAGGGCACAACCTGTTGATCTCCATGATGGCTCAGATCCACCGCAATGTCATCTACTCCGTGTACCAGGTGGGTGGGCTACATGTTGTTTGGGATGTTTACCAGGTGGGTTACGTGGCGTCCGCTTACCAGGTGAATATCCTTTCATCTGGTTTGTGCAATGGGCAAGTTGCATCGTCTGGTTCGTCCATTTGAAGGTTTCATGTCACCTCGTTTACCTGAGGGGTGTGATTAATCCTCTTTACATTCCAGGTCGGTATTTTCTCATCATGTCTCTAACTTCTCTCTGTTTCTGACTGAAAATCGGTGGCTGTTATTCTGTTTGTGCTTGCTGCAGTTCAAGCCTGTTATGGCAAAGCAACCTGATTTGGTCAACGTGGCCAATGGTGGTGCAGCTGCTGCAGCAGCAGCAGTCCCTGCTGCGACTGAGGCATCCCAAGCAACTCAGTCCACAGGAGCAGCCGCAACAGTAGAACCAGTGGCAACAGAAGCAGCAGGAGAAGCAGAAGCAGCAGAAGAAGCAAAAACCGAGGGAGAGGGTGGGGTTGAAGTTGCAACAAATGCAGGAGCAGGCCCCACAGGAGGGAGGGGTGGGCGGAGGGGCGGACAGAGGGGCCGTCAGCGTGCAGCGAAAAAGGTTACTGCTAGGTCTAATAGCTCGTAAACAGAGCTTTGTGCAGATTCTCTGAATAGTGTGTTTTTGCTGTCCGTTTTCTGTACTGGTGAATATAAATCGCAGTGCTCTTTAGATTGTGTGTATCATCACTTCGCAACCAGTAATTAAGATTTTGCTTGAATGTGTTCTCAGTTCCAAATTCTTTTTTGTTGCTGATTATTGGTGGTTAGAAGTTCTGTCGATGACACACTGATGTTCCCCCATCCATTTCGCGGTTTCGAGCCATTGTCAGCGTCATCCAAGGCGTGGTCGCCGGAATCACATGAACCCCATCCAGATGGCGCGCCAATGGAAATTCGGAACCAAGATTGCCCTCCAATCTGACCAGGCTTCACACGAACAGTTGACAAGACATTCCATTGGCTGATCGTCACGTGGGTGACTCCTCCGCTGCCCAAATACCAGTCTCGACTCGACTTTGAGGATGCCCCTCCAATCACGGTGAAACTGTATCCTAGCTTCAAATTCGTCTCGACAAGAATGAGCTTGAGAAAGGCTGTTCTTGAAATACTACCCACTTACAGCTCACACCACCGCATTGAAACCTACAAAACCGTAGATGAACAATTTCATTGCACATCCAGCCCGCACGAAAATTTCCCTTCTGACAGTTCGCATCAACGTGTCGCACAATTCCGAAGAAGCGCAACGGCAGTGGGTGCTCATGTCATGTTGTTCGCCGCCGGTGATTGCGGGAAGCCGCGTCAGCAAAGCGTCACACCCCTCACACCCATTGCTGAATTTCTGCAAACCCTCCTCAACTCACCCTCCCTCCTCTCCTCCCCCCCCCTTCTCTCCTCCCCCTTTCTCCCCATCTCAAGCTCCTCTGGCCCGAACAAGAGTTCCTCCAACTGCCAAAACTCTGTCTGTGTGCAGTGTGCATCAACGTGAACTGAGAATTTAGACATCACCAGAATCTGTGTGCGTTTCCTCAATAAGAAGTGCCTTCAGGCTCCAGCAAACACTAAGTTCTGAATGCTGTCCAATCTTCCTGCAATCTTCGCTTGAATTCGAGCTGTGCACCCGCAGCCATGGATCCCTCTGCCATGGAGCTTCAGGAGTTTTACCACGGTGCGGCCTGCCAATTCGAGTCGAAGCGTAGTTCGTTGTTCGAGGCCGGACAGATTTGGGACGTCGGTGCCGCTGTGCTAGGAGGTTTCGTTCCCGGTGTCGTTCTCGTTAAATGTGTAGCTGTCGCTGGAGCGCTCACATTCTCGTCATGGTGCGCCGCGATTGTAGTAACAGCGGCCGCACTCCAGCGGATACACAGTGAGTGGCCATTCTCGACCTTGTTCCATTAGCTTCCTACAACCGCCGCCTCTCGTTCCCTGGCCAGTTTGCGTTTGATTTACTAAATTGCTCTTGCATTCTAGCTGTCAAAGGTCAGTTCCAGAAGTCTGGTGTTGCTTTATTATGAGTTGGCTCTTACACGCCTTTCTTTTGCCCTATGCAGGCTCCACCATGTCAGACGACATGGATGGCTTCTCCCGCTGAGTTTTGCGGATGAAAAGAGACAACGTTGTGCGCTGACCTACTAACCACCTACTAACATACCTCGCGAGATGCCATCTCGTTGGAAGCCGTTGGAGCGACGGCATTGCTCCGCGATCCGAATTTTGTAACAAACTACTAATGTTTATTGTCCATATTACCGGTACATTAAGTGTCAAACCTTAGTTCAAATTGGCACGAATCTCGTTCTACCATTTTCAGAATCACACCGTAATATCTCAGTTCAAGCCAGTGAAATGTTCCTTCTAAATAATCTGGGAGAGCAATTTAGAAGTGGTGTACAACTACCGTCCATGGTGTAAACTCTAACGTGATCTAGCTGTGAATAGTGAAGTTACACTTGACCAGTTGCCACCGTAGCTTCCGCTCAGAGAAGAGAGAATAGAGATGTAGGAGTTTGTGGAACTAATGCATTCTCTACGTCGTTATTTCAACATTGCAAGAATACAGTATAGTGGCGTCTAATGCCCCGAGTCGCCTCCGCAGGTTTGCCCTCACATACATCTTTCCATGTCGCCTAGCTGGAAACACAGGGGAAGGGCCAGATTAAGTCCTGCCAAAGTGGCGGCGGCGGGGCGACCGTTTCTTCTGAATCCACACACTGCTGCAATGTCGCCCTAGCTCCCTGAAATTCAACCACACATCGCGGCGTGCGTTTCGTTTGGAGCTTTTGACGAAAGACTTGCTGTTGAATGCTATTGTCGCTGCCCTGATTGACCAGCAGCTTTTCTGCTCGTCGTTATACTACCTCGTCCGTACACCACCATTCCTGAATCCACGCGGCAGCAGTTCACACATCCCCCCATAAGCAGTCCAATTTATGCCGACCACCGACGTTCTTAGCTTCATCGCAGTGTGCATCGACGGTGCTCTTTTTTTTTTTTCCAGGCGTCGCCGCTGTGCGTACTTGCACATCTGCCAGTGCGTCCCTTCGTTCGACCAATAATAGTTCTTGCTTCGTACGGATGTGCCAGTCTCAGAAGTTCGGTTCCGAACATCCCGAAGATACTGTTTTCGCTAAGCACGCACTTACCAGCTGCATGGCCGTTCACCTTTCGCTAAGCACGCGTTTAGTGAGGAGGGTGACTGCGCCGTGGAAGTATCGCCACCCAAGCAGAAATGGGTGATCCACAAAATAATGGATTCTAAGTCTTCCTCGCCTGGACACAAATAAAAAGACCATTCACCCGAATGGCTGTCCTTAACAAGCCCACCAGCGGCTATCCGCACCGACCATGACTTCCTTCTCGAAGCAGAATTTACTCTTTCGGTTACTCCCTCTCTCCCACCTTCCGTTACGTACCATACCGTTTAGGCTCCGCGGTAACTGCGCAGCTTTTTGCGAGCATGGCCGCGTCAAAGAACCTTCTTATGATACCGTTTTGCCCAGCTGTTGTTTCTGAGCGACTCTTGCATAAGGCGTACAACGCTTGAAGGCTCCACGCGTTCAGATTTGACTACTAGAGCCGCTCCCTTCGAGGCCGCTCAACGCCCAACCCTTTGCCATGGCAGTTGTTTTTTTCACTGGCGACTCGGTCGTGTTGCGTTAGTCCTGACTGTTTTTTTTCTTCTCGCAGGTAAGCTGTTTGCGCTTTGAGTCGCGCAAGATGTCGTACACTTCGGTTACGAATATGCTTACGAAGACTTGATTTGTTCCGAGATTTTTTATAAGTTGTTATTTCATACTCATTTCTGCCGTTTCTTCCCATGGGTCCCTATCCCCACCTCCTCGTCCACTCCATGCGTCTTCCATTCCTCGTTCCCATGCCTTTCTGTCGTGCCGCGCTCCCATGCCCCGTGCCTCGCTCCCATAACTCACTCCCACGCCTCAATACCGTCCCCGCTCCCGTGCCTTACCGTGCCTCACTTCCCTGCCTCGATCCCGTGCCTCGCTCCCGTGCCTCGATCCCGTGCCTCGCTCCCGTGCCTCGCTCCCGTGCCTCGCTCCCGTGCCTCGCTCCTGTGCCGCGCCCTAGTGGCTCCCGTGGCTGCACGTGGTTGTTATCTCGTCCGCAGTGCCACCATCGACAAAGGTACGAACGCGGGGATGGGGTGGCGTGAAATGGCTGAGATACCGCCTGACTTTTATGGCATGCTGTTAACCTTTAAGACACCCATTTCGCTCTGAAGTGATTCTTGAGGCGCCTCACTGTTTGCCCGAGACAGCCTGATTCTCATGCATGCTGTTGACCCTCAAAACAACCATCTCACATCGCAAAAATAGGCAGCTCATGAGCCGTTGATCGTGAAGCCTGCTATTCATCCACCTTCTCCCTTCCTCTTCCTTTTTTCCCTTCGCCCCTCTTTGTCATTCAAAGAGCAGGCAAAGACAGTGGTGGTTGGAGGGGGGGGGGGGCTGAACCCGTGGAGCGAGTGGCGCATGCGGGTCTGGAAAAAGCCAGAGCTGCGAGTGGGGGACACTCTTGGTGAGACCTGCACTTTGCGTGTAGGGTGCCTTTCTTGGACAGGAAAGGCGTGTAGAGTGTTTGTCCTTATGAGTTCCAAAAGGGACATTCTTGGTGAGACTGCACTCTGCGTGTAGAGTGTTTGTCCTTATAAGTTCCAAAAGGGACACTCTTGGTGAAACCTGCACTCTGCGTGTAGAGTGTCTTTCTTGGGCAGGCAAGGATGGTGGTGGTGGGTGGGGGGGGGGGGGGGGGGGCTGAGCGAATGGCGCATGAGGGTTCCGAAAAAGCCAGTGCTGCGAGTGGGGGACATTCTTGGTGAGACTTGCACTCCGCGGTTAGAGTGTTTGTCCTTCAAATTTCCAAAAGAAACACTCTTGGTGAGACCTGCAGTTTGGGTGTGCAGTGTACACTGTGCGCGCATCGTATGCTGCCAGCCAGCCGAGTGATGCACTAGTGTGCATGTGCTGTGTGCATGTGCTGTGTGCATGTGCTGTGTGCATGTGCTGTGTGCATGTGCTGTGTGCATGTGCTGTGTGCATGTGCTGTGTGCCTGTGCTGTGTGCATGTGCTGTGTGCATGTGCTGTGTGCATGTGCTGTG